TCCTTTCCTTTCCTTTCCTTTCCTTTCCTTTCCTTTCCTTTCCTTTCCTTTCCTTTCCTTTCCTTTCCTTTCCTTTCCTTTCCTTTCCTTTCCTTCCTCTCTTTTCTTTTCTTTGCCTTTGTTTACATTCTTCTAGCTCATATTCATCACAAAGTACAGGACTAAATATACACACAGGAGTTGGCTCTACATGAAATCCAATGCACGGTACAATCAGCCTCCAACGCAACTTCAGATTTGTTTTGACAAAGGCAAAGAACCAGCAGGAAGGATACCTGTCATTCCCAAGATTAGTGTTCTGAATTCTGGCTATCTCTGGACTTTTTCTTTGGCCCACACTACTAGTTTTTTGTTTTCTCTGTAGAAATAAGAATAAATCTATTTACTTCTGCTTATAATATKTCTACAAGTAAGAATGACTTGAATTTTATCTCCTTGAGCAGAAAAATGACCTCAGAGCCAAAGGAAAAATATCAAAGATGAATAAGATACAGAGCCATTTCTTTATTGCCGGAGCTCATGTCCAGAAGCAAATCAGAAATTTAATTTGTATAATTCATTTAAATTAACTAAATTAAGCAACTGAAATTCCACAAATGACTCTGATTATACCATTTCTCCCTTGCTTTTCTGGAAACGCCTTCTCTCAAGCAGTGAAAGTTACAAACATTACACCAGACACCTGAACACTCACRGGCTGGATGACTTTTGGAGAGAACACCACTTTCTAGTACTTCCAGATAGTTTTTAAGTGTCCATTTAATAAGAGAGTCAGTTAAGACCATAAAGGAGTGTTGGAAAGGTGGAATAATGCATTTAAAAATCCAAACTGTATTCCCTGAGCAATGACACAGTACATCCCTACCTATATTCTGAAGCAGCTGATGAGGAAAAGATAAAGAAAATATGTAACTAATCTGGCAAACTGTTTCATAGTATCAGAAAGCAACCAGAATAAAAGAGTTCATAAGGAAAGATCTAAAAAACAGCTATTTTGGTCACCAGCGAACATTTCCATTTATTCCTAGTAAGAGGTTTGTTTATACTTTGCAGCATAAAGATTTATTCTCTTCCAAACCCTACTCCTACGCTGGCCTTTACATCCATTTACCTATTTAACTGCACTGTTTCTGGGAGAGTCCAGCATCCATTTAAATATCTGTTCTCTTTTTTTTTCACGTAAACCAGTCTAGTTCAAGAACTTCTACCAGGCAGAAGTCTCCTTTTCACATTCACTTACCAAGGCCGAGGTACCCCTGGCTCCTTTCGCTCCTTGCAAACTGCATTTGCACAGCAGACAAGGCCCCATCACAGGTTAAGTGCTGGCAGTGAGATTGCTCCTGCTTTCAAACCAAACTATGGGCTGCAATATGATGAACAGGTCCTCTTAGCATTTATAACTTTGATTATATAACCTGGTTCTCTTCTCTTAGGATACTCTTTAGTGTTTTAACCCTACTATTCCTTAATTAAACAACATAGTTATTTTAGTAAGAAGCCACTCTATTGCACACCCTTTCTAGAATGAACACAACCTGCTGGGGTAACAACCTGAGGTTATAATAACCTGAGGGAGGCTCCTCGCCTAGAACTAGAGGGTCCATCTTCAAGCACAGCTGTGGGATCTCTCTCAGTGCTTCATTTCAGCCTGACAAACAGCTCAGCTCTCACCTTCTCTCCTGAAAGCTCCTTTTAATGAGTCCTGTATTCTTTAGGCCTTGATTGTGCCCAGGAAGGCACAGCATTGGTCATATTTTGAGACTAAATAGAGGGGTCCTCAAAAGGAAGAACTTTGACCATCTTTTAAATTACTTATCAGGCCTTGAATCAGAAATTACTGAGCTGGGTTCCCTACATTGACTCCTGCTTGGGTTTTCCAGCAGTCCTTTATTAGGTTAGATCAATCCATACGTACTGGGATCTGATTATCACCTTAGTTACATTAACAATGTTGCTGAGCAGACTATAGGCAGTCTGCATACAAGTGCTACACGCTCTCGGTAGCTCTAAGTTACATAGGAGCTCATTGTTTAGGCTACATGTTGTCTCTGCGACTCCTTTCTTCAGGGGGAACGTAGATCACGTTAACAAAGAYGAGTGACATCAACTCAGCTACGTGGCTGTTTTAGCCCAGTAGCTCCTGCTGGCTGGCAAACCAGGCTTGTCCACTGTTTTCCAGAGCGCTGCTCTTGAGAGCTCCACAACATTCCTCCACCTMGCTGAAATCACCTTTTCTTCTATTTTTTTTTAACCTCATATGAACTTCCTTCTTTTTTTCTAGATGCTGTGAATGTATCTGTGCCACAGATTATAATCTCCAGGGCTCATAGAAGTGTGTGTGAAGAAAATTTTTTCTTAATTTCTTTTCAGAGTAGACTTGAATTGTACCCACCATCGYTTCAGCGGCCAAGTATGGCCTGATAACACAGGCAGTTGCATAAATACTTGCAGCTACAGTTTGATCTTGCATAGGTAAGGGCACAACCTACATTTACCAAGCTCTATAAATGTTTGGCAGCAAAACACTTGGCAAACCAAGTCTGGAAAAAACAAAACAAACAAGTAAAAAAAAAACATGTAGCAGAGAAGCAAAACACAGTTTGCAAGCTCTTCGGTGTTAGTGTCTTCTCATCATATAAATGGCACAGATTTCTGACTGATTCCTACAGAATCAACCAGATTTCTACAAGAAATAAGGATAAAAATCAGTTTTTCCACCTTCCGAGTATAACCTTAAAACATCACGCCAAAAGARCATCCTGTAGAATTACATGTACAAATCCTCAAGGCCAATTGTTGCTTTCTATTTCCTTTTTGCAATCTAAAGTGATGAAATTGAAATWACTAACTTCCACAGTGTGGCCTAGGAAACCCAGTATCCAGGTCTCTATAGACCTCTCCTTTCTAGAGGACCAGTAACTGAGAGGTGAACCCAACTATGCAAACTCTTAGCCACACAAGTCCTACCACCATCAGCAGGAACAAGCCATGAGCGGGGAGCTGCAAACTGGATTCTAGATTGCACAAAGATCCCCAACACTTGCAGATGCCCCCTCACACCAACAGCAAAACTTAGAGCCTCATGGCTGTTTCACAGCAAACCAACATGTCAGAGGAGCTTCAGGAAAAAAAAAAAAAAAAATGTGTTCCAGAGTTGCTACCAGGCAATAGAAACTTCAAAAACAGCTTTGTACAAAGAGTGCCAGCTCTGTGTAGCACCACTGTGYACAGAATATATAATTTCTCCCTCTTCCGCAGGGAATGAGTAGGATAGGAACAACTGTTCCTGTTTTGTCAGATCTCATTCTGAGATTTCCTCCATCTGACAGAGCTCTGCAAATGCAGAGGAGGCCAGGGAATCCCTGTACTATCTCCAACCCACGGCTGCATGGAAAAAGAATGGCTACAGGTTTCCACAGCATCTCTTAAGGAGATTATTAACAACAACAGAAAACACTGCGATCAACGGCAAGACAATGCAATTCACAATAAGGAAATTGGATCATTTTCATTCCATAAATGTGGGCATCTTCAAAAATAACTGTTACAGAAGAATTGCATTTCTTGGGCTGATGCCCGCAGTCACCCCCAAGTGTAGCAGGATGATGGAAACACTAAYAGAAAAACGCATGGTGCTTTCTTGGAATCATATGCTGAAAGGAAGAAAAYGAGACCTCCTGCAGCTGGACAGTTCCAGCATGGTTCTGAAGGCAGTGTTTCCATGTTACCACTGCATCATTTTTCCTGTTAATTTTCAACTTATACTACAAAGGAAGTTTTTGTGTGGAAATACCCACAAAACACACTTCAAAAACTTGTTTTAAAGTGAACAAAGAATTAAAACAGTTCCTATTTTATTTCATTAAATATCGGTTTTCAAGCTGATGGTGTAACTGCAAACAGWTTTCAACAGCTCTTTTTCTTTTGTCTAATATAGCTTTTAAACAGTAAAATATGCCCAGTCTAACTGACCAGCTCCAGAAACCGTTCTCCCCTAAGATGAAAAAGGCTGAATTAATGTGGCATTTCACAATGACAATCTTTTTCTGCGATTTATTACCATCAACATACCGGGTACGTGCGCAGATGGCTTTAGCCTCCAGTAGATCTGGGATCCAGAAGGTCCGAGACAAGAAGACAGGACCTAACTTACTGTTTTTCTTCCSTCTGCTAAGCTCAAAAGACAGCTATGCACTTCTTTTAATGAAATATGCARTGAAAAATGATCATTCCAGTTAAATACTGCTTTAAATGTACCCAAATTGTAACGTACAGAAGGTAGGAAAAAAACGCCTCCAAGAAGCTCGGCACTTTATTTTCCACGGGACAGAAGTGTTTTCCGGGTCGTTATTCCGAGTTTTCTGTTTCCCTGCGCTACCTTAATCGGTTTGCTGTGCAGCACATCAATAACAGCCGCCAGCAGCAGCTGGGCACTCAGATTTATGCCTCCATCACCCAAAGTCCTCAGAAGGAAGGGAAGCCGCTTTCCTGGTTCTTACAGCAACCTGCCGAGGGGAGAAGAATTAAGCACTTCGGACAGAGCCCCACGAAGAGAGTCTGTATTAATACACAGATGGGTTAAAGTCGCCTTAAAAAAAAATAAATTAAAAAATAAATTACCGAGGATAGTTTAACATTCCCTCCAGAGCAGCCACCAGTAGCTACCGAGGCGGGATCCGTCAGGGACGCGCACCTCGGGCACAGGCAATCCCGGCTCTCAGGACGCGGCTCGCGCAGCCCCGCGTCGCCCGCTCCGCCTCACGGCAGGCAGCCGGAGGGAAGCACGCCCGCCCGCCCCCGGCCCCGGCCCCGCCGCCCCGCGCCCTCAGGCCGCGGATGACGAGGAGCCGCCCCCGCCGCGGGGCTGCGGAAAGGCCGTTAACGGCCGCGCTGGGTCAGCGGCCGCCCGCGGCGGGCGCGGCACTCACCGTGCGCGGGCGGGCGGCGGCCCGGAGCGGAGCCGCGCGGCGCGTCACGTGGCGGGCGCCGCACGGCCGTTACCGCGCGGCCGTTGGGGGCTTCGCGCAGGGGGGGCAAAGCGGGGCGCTCCTTGGGGTTGGCCGTTCTTGGACGCGTCCAAACGCGACTTAGGGCGCTTGAGAGCGCCCTTTCAGCCCCAAAGCGCCGGGGGAAGAGGATAAAACGCTGCTCCKTACTCTTGTCGAGGCCATGGGGTAGAGGCAGGCAGCCTGTGTGCTGCAGCAGGCTGCTGGTTCCCTGCTTGGAACAAGTGCAGCAAGCGGGAGCGGCGCCACGCTCACCGGCAGCCACAGGCCGGGGCCTGGGAGCAGGGGACACTAACAGTCCGCACTGATCACGGGCCCACACGTGTCCTAGCTCCACTCACTACMTGTCCCCTCCCTAGCTAAGGAGGAAGCTGGGCGAGACAAACCACTTGGATTGTTTGAGGAGAGGGTAGAGATGAAATAATCTTCTAAATGTTTGCAAAACATCAAATTTCCAAAACTCGCACAACACCAACACCTCCTTTCTCGATTAAGGGCTTATGCAGCCCTTCCTCACACTGAATAGAAAGGATGACCCTTTTAAAAAGCCGTCTGGGGAGAAAAAAATAAGCCAGAACTATCAAGACTCAGAGAAGTCTTACGACTCATTCTTGTCAATTATTATGACTTATATGCCATAACAAGTTGATTCTGCTTTATATATTGATTTTGTACATTTTCCGTTACAAGCCCAGAGTCAAGCAGAAAGGTCAGTATTAGGTAAAATGCTAAATAATGTCTTTTTTTTTTAACTGAAAATCAGTCTGCGCTAGTAATTAGCATGTTAGTAGTAGTACCATTAGAGCACTCACATTTACCTTGCGCCCCTGAAAGGCTGCRAGTCCAAGGCCGTTTAGCTGGGAGGCTAAAGAGATGTTAGGGCATTTGCTGCCTCCCTTCCTCGATTTCCCTGCTCTCTCACTCCATCAGAGCAAACCTGAAGCCTTTCCAGGTCACTTCATTTTCTTTACTAGAGAGAGCAGGGAAGAATCCTCATTTTAACAACGCTCTGAAGCACATGGCCTCTTTAAAGAGTGACCACGTGGCTTTTAGAATGATTACGCGGGAGAAGGCAGCAACGTGAAGCAAGGAAATAGGGCAGAACACATTACTGAATATAAATATATACTTAGGTCCACAATCTTACCTTAACCAGAGCTGCAAAAGCTTTAACTTACCTTTGTTGCTTTTTTTCTTTCATTTGTGTTTAATTAATGTGGATGCTCTTTCTACCAAAGGTTCTCTTTACCATGTGAAGGATGTACAGAGTAGTAGATAAACAAGCATTGAGAGTCGCACTCTGTCCACTGCAGGAATCTAACAGCTTTTCTCCTTTAATAAAAAGCTTCATATATCCATACATAAGAATGCAAACATAYACCTGCTGTCTTCTAAGTTTTTGCAGACTAAACCATTCAGACGTAAGCATTCAAGGTTAGCCACGGGCCCTGAACATGGTGCCTTTAACTGCTTGCCTTAGCTTCTCTTCCTTGACCCAAACGAAGAGAATTACTTCTACATGAACTAGCCCCGAGCRAGGGCTGTGTGCACATTATTCAATCGCTTTTATAGAATGAGGATTTCCAAATGTTTTCCAGAACACTAGTTTGCAAAGCGGAAACTGCACAGGCTAATGTTTTGGCTTGTCTACTTTGTATCAAGGGGGAAATACAGGGGGAAATACAGATACCCCTTTGTATCAAGGGGGAAATAGGCACATACAGAGCCTATTAGAAATCCATGGGCAGAAACAATGGCTTTGTGCTCCATTCCAGAAGAGCAGAAGAGAAGCAAACCTCTACCACATACCTTACTAGCAATGGGCACATTACTGTGYGTCAGCACTTGGTAATATCTGAAAATATTGATAAAAACAAGAGCGGTCTGTGCCCCTAGGTGCCTAAACAGTCTAATGGCTGTTTTCCAAGGCAGCAGAGGCTTTTTAAGAGCATATTTTTTAATACTGTGATACAGAAATGGCTTCTCTATGTTACTATTCTATGAGGAAAAAAAGAAGCTAATGTGGCTTTAAACAAAAAGTAGGAACAATATTGGCCCCATTAGGACTGTATTATGAGCATATTTTGACATAAATAGACCCTTTTCCACTTTCCATTCTAGAGATCCTCTCTTATTATCCAGCTATTACTTGCGCAGGCTATACTGCCATGAACAAGGGGTAGAATTGGGCTTGTCCATTTGATGGTTAACCAGAGGACTGTCAGCAACCAACCAGATCATGTTTCCTCTGTGCTCTCCAGTGTTCCTGCCCCTAAGTATGTAGTATACCATGCAGTCATATGCAGCTCAAAGAAATTCTGAAACAAGAAGGCACCTGCTCAGTATGCAGGAGAAGACTTTTCATCAGTTTTCTCCAAAGATACATGATGTTTTAAATGCAAAAGGGAGCCTTAAAAGTGATGTCTCAGGCTCAAAGCTGAAAACTAGTTTTTTTCTCAAAGGAAACTACTTTCCTACAGAACTCTGCTGCATTTAATTCAGATCAAGTAGAGTTCTGCCTAGGTTTTTGCTATAGTTGCATGAGTTTAGGTAAATGAATAGATCTCAAACTTCAGATGAAGATTCCTTTTCCTTGCAACTGTTTCAAGATCCATTTTTCTTGCCACTGCTAGAGAATTCCTCTTCTCCCCACTACAGGTGGGCACGTGGGTCTCTTCCGACCTTCCTCCTCTCACCACACAGCTCTGCCACCGGAGCCTGAGGACCAGGGTCACCACAAGAACCTGCAAGTGCTACCAGCCCCGGCCCCGTCGTCTGACCTTTTCCCAAGCTTTGGTTCCAAGAGCAAGATCCTTGCATCCCAGAGAGCCCATGCTCCTATTTCCATCTTTCCTTCCCCTCACCAGCGAGGAACTGCCCTTCCATTTTCCCTTGGATAAAGCTGGTGTCCCAGCAGAATGAGGCAGGATGTGCAAGTGCCGAAGTGCCTGCCTAGGCAGCCATCACTTGGTCGGAATTACAGCCTCACAGCCGAAGGGCAGAGGGGACATGTACAAACCAGAGTAGTTCTTGGGTTCCCACTTCCAATCTCAGGCCCCCTTACTCTGGTTTGCGAGCCAGATGATGTATCCTGTAAATAYAGCCTTGTCACTTCAAGATTATTATTATTTTTTAAAAAATAAGATCAAAAGACATGGGATCCAGCCAAAAAATAGAATCAAAGTAAGAGAATAGTAGAAAGGAAACCAAAAAAAMCATGTTTGCAACCATCTCATAAGCAACTTGATACAAAGATCTGTTTATTACCCAACAATGTGACAATATATACAAGACAGTGTGGAATGTGGCATTTACAGGGAATTTCATTATGACATGCACATATAACTACTGAAGTTGTTCCAGAACATGTTAAGCTGAATAAATATTCCCTGCTTCAAAAAAATCAATTTTATTTTTACATAAAAATATAATATTGCACTCTTTACAAGGCCAGCTATTTTGCATATTACTTTGAACAAGTGGAATTCTGCTTTATAAAAATAAGCCTTTATGAGCAACACCCCCACCCCAAGGAGCACAAAAGCACCCCGAAACCACAAAATTTGTGTTTTTTTTCTTTTAAATAATGCACATCGCTTCAACATGAGTGCAAAAGATATTCAATCTGTGCTTGACCTTACATTAATATCGGGATAATGAAAAACATTAAAGCCATCCCATACAAAGCTGCTACAATATATGCAATTTAAATGCAATGAATACAGTATGCAGCCACTTGCTTAATTAAATCCAAGATCAGTCTTTATCACAGACTATGAAAAGACATTTTTAGATCAAGTTTTCCTAGTTTGAAAAGTTTCTCAAATTGGGAACTTTCTGTAAAGACTGTTTGGGATTTTCAAAGTATAGATCTCTTGCATGCATGTTTGCTTCATCACAACTTGATATTCTCAGTTACAGAGTTCAAGACAGATGAACCTTACACATGAGAAGATAGAGCAGTTCATCTGTGTGGCAACAGTGGAATAYGGAAATGATAAAAAGGCAAAAGAAAAGAAAAGAAAAAGATGTAGCTTATCAGGCTTAAGGAAAGGTTTTACCTTTCAGATTACTCATAGGTACAGTGTGAATCAAGGTTACAGACTTTAAAATCCATCTATGGAAACATTAACTTTGGATCTGGTCCAAGACTTCAGCTTTTAAAACTTTCATAATGGAGATTTTTTCCCCCCTGCTCTCTCAACAATAATAGCACCTAGGAATAAATAACATATTTGCACAATCTATTCATGTAAACTCTTCCAAATCATCTGATGCTTATGAACATATTAGTCAGGCAGTTAGAATCAAACATTATACAGTGTATTTAAGTCCAATATCACTGAAATGAGACCATACCTGTACCTTCCTTAATACCTTATTTAAAAAAAAAGCTCTGAATATATATATATTTAGAGCATATATATATATATATATATGCGCGCACACACACACACACACACTTCTTGCCACAGAACCAAAATAGCTAGTGTTACAAATCTGTGGAGTTAACACTTTACACTGGGGAAAACAAAACAGAACAAAACATCCCCCACAAAACCGTGATTTAACTATTGCTTCATGATGCCATGAGATGTGTGCCCATCACTAAGGTACAGGTATTTTCTTTTTGTCTATTGTAAAGACCGTTATCCTATCTCAACAGAGAAGACAGCAAAAATTACAAATATAAAGGTAACAGATTTTATCATTACAATAC